ATAATACAAAAGGAGAGGGACATGGCGTCCGGTGTTATATAGCCAATTCCCCCCATGCCATTTTCCCCCTTTTTCCCGCGGGGATATTTTGGATCATTGCTATTCTTCCCACTAGGAAAGTTGACATTTACGTTAGTATAATATAGTCCCAGCGTATACATATAGCCACATTTCCCCCATGCCCTTATTTCCCTCACAATAGGATTGATTGATTGTAGGTTTCTTAATGTCCAGTGGCAAATATTTCATGCATGTTTAGTACGAGAACAAATTAACCATACATACAATAGTTAGGTCCTGTAATAGAGGCCGTCCGATGAAGGTCGGGAAAATTTGTACTGACACGGGAAAATAAAGGTATTAATTATAAGGACAGAAATTTAGATTGCAATAGGCCACCTACGTACCCCTCAAAGAGTTGTTGCGTGGGTTCTTAACGTGCAAAGAGCGTGACACTCTCTTTACACGAGGCATCGGATTTAACGCCCCTAAACAGACCGGACGTGGCTGCGAACTTGTACATCCCGCACAGCCAAACGGACGCCCAACTTTAGCGAGTGTTTTACTGCCGGCCGGAGGAAGACCAATGGTAACCACATTTCTACTCTCCAGTCATCCTTCGGGGAACCTCACAATAGGAATATCACTATATATCTATATACATCAAAATTGCACGGCCATTTATTACATATATTTTCCGAACTTGATTTTCTTAAGAAATTATTGAACTCTGGAACTCGGCTTTGGTTGCATAGAAGAAATGTTAGGTACAAATTGTGTTCATTTTGTCGGCACGCGTGTCGCTTAAAAGGTCTGGGGTCAGAAAGTGGGATTGGGGCGCCTATATTTAGTTACAGGGGTAGCCGTTTACATTCGAAAAAATACCCCCATTCATATATCTTTTCTGTCCAAAATCCGACATATTTGCATTTAGATTATAGGCCAAACACTAGTAAGTAGGGACTTTGTGAAAAAAAATGCCAAACTCATCGGATGGAAACGTTTATCTGTTAACAGGGGTAGATTTTTCGTTTAAAAATGGCCCGAGATAATACCCAATATAAACAAATCTGTCAAAACAATATTGATTCAGATCGCTGGAACGTTATAAATGAAAGGGATAGCACAAGAACACAAGAGGTTCATAGAATTATTCATCGTTGTTCCCGACAGACTCAGTATATGTTACATCGAAGTCATAATACTTATTTGTGCAAATATCTTGAAAGGGCTTTGTACTCGAATAAAACAGAATTATGGACCTATAAATCTACAGGAAACAGAGTTTTACACTAAAGGGTGCTTAGAATTTCGCTGTATACCATTTATGAATGTGGAGCTTGAAGGCAGACAAGAACTGTTCCAGCAAATAATGAGATTATCTTATTATTAAAAATTTAAAAAAAAATGGACAATGTGTGTCATGATTTATTTAAAAGCCAACCCGTTACACAAGTAGACCATCTGACCATATTCCATCCCCATATGGGCTTCAACTAGAACATGGGTTTGACCATTGGGCCTTACGACATGGCTATAGCACATTAGGACAAAATATATGGCGCATTAAAATGGTCTTATCATCAAAATTCAGTACAGGGCCAGTATGAAGTGAAAGTGACCCGCGTACCTGAGGCAATAACTAAAGGTGACTTTGTGACCCAAGGGGGTACCTGTTGTAGTCCCCTATAGAAACCTAATGTTTTTGACGTTATTGATCTCGAAAGGGAATTATATTGTATTGGCCAACATAGCTGTAATAGGCTGTAAATATGCATATGGTAACCGGATGCAGCTAATTCACGTTTTCGCCTTAGTTTGATATTTTATAAGCGAAAACTTGATGGCGATAAAACAAAAAAGTTGAAATGACAGAAGTTTGCAATTAAATTTTCGCGTTTCCGTTTATTTGCGTTTTTTTGCGTTTTGCCCCTATGCTTCACGCTGTGCGAAATTCAAATGATAGTGTTCACCCAACTTGTTAATTCTGTTCCTCTTACTAGCGAGGCGGGTAAGGGAATATAACCAATGGGTACAGCTCTAGCCTTCAAAAGAAAATAATTACAATTTGGACCCGAACAAGTAACAAAGGTAGAGACGATAGCAACCACTTGCATAATCTTGTGTGGTACTGAAGAATCTTCTTTTGGGTGGTTTAAATTTTGTCCTTCTAGATAAGGTGTAAGATAACTACATATGATGGTATATCTAGTAGATCGTTTATGATCTTGAAGAACATTGTTATACTTTTTTTGTACATAAAAAGTAACAGGAATTACCAAAAAATATTAGTCAGTAAAACAGACGGCACATAATTCTGAAAGCGGTGTCAAAATGAGTTTGCTACGACAAGGAAGATAACTCAGGTCGGCTCCACACTTGTTGAATACTGCCACTAATGAAAACACATGCATCTAAAAATCATCCTGTTTTTGTTATTTACTTACTTGTTAAGTTTTAAATGATTTCATATTGTTATAATCAGGGCACTATAATAGGACTTATAGAATGTGTTAATGTGATAGAAGAAGTGCTTGGACGAAAATTGGAGTGTTTCACTGTGAGTGTGGTTTAGTTCAATCGACAAAAAAACTTTTATATAAATAAGGAGATGTGGAATGATCGCCAAACAGACAACTATCCAATAAAGTCCATATTACGTGGATTTAAGCAATTATATATCTTTTCAGAAGTCCATTACTAGACGTCTAGTAATGGACTTCTGATCTTATATACTTACTTGTACTTTGATTTTGATAATTCAAATCTAAATTTTGTCAGTTGGCGATTCGGATTTTGTAAATTTCTGCAAACTGTTTCTATTTATTCTAACCGATGATTACATTTGACAGTTATTATTTTTTTCTGTTGTGCTATTCAACATTTTCATGAGTACGCCACTCTTTCTTGCAAGAAAAATCAAGTATAGTTTAGAGTTATCTCTCTTTGAATATTAAGATTTCTTGTATGAAGTGTATTAATGCAAATTTTTGTTGTCATGGCCGTCCCCTTCCAGATACCCCGAACTTATACCGGTATTCAATTTATTAACATGTTATAAGAGATTTTTTTGTGGTTGACATACTTTTGATCTAATTACAGCTTTGGAATTTGTAAATTTGAATTGAAAAGTTTTGCCCAGTTTTCGGAAATCCTAGGGAATTTTTGATATATTTTGCATTTATATGTAATGAATTGTAACACATGAATTTGGTATTATTTGACCTACCATTTTTTTGCAATTTAACACTGTCTTGACAGGTTTAAGAAAAATCAGTTTTCTGCTATGTATAAATCCTTTAAAGAAGAAATAGAACTGATTCTTTATATAAAAAAATTGTGATGAGAAGTTTCAGATACTTGTATAGGCATAAGTACGGTTGTCCGTCTTTTGACATAATCTTAGGTTTGGTTGGATTTAGGAAATGTCTGTCTAATTAACTTGTATAAAAAGATTTTTGAAGGGGACCGGGTGCTTGCGTGTACATGGAACAATTGAAAATAGCATACTAACTTCAACCAATTGTTTTAACATTTATTTTATTAGAAACATGCTCTCTCCTTAAACGCAAAGAGCAAGTGTAAAAAGGGATCCCATGTATGTTTTACTTCTGCATAGGTTTAAAAAAAAGAAGATTTTGTTTTCAATATAATGTCCGCAAATGACACACAAATCCATGCTAACTGTTTATTTCTTAACAGTTGTATAGTATAGATGCAGCCGTGTAAACTAGGTAAGCATAGGTATCGCAATGTACTGCTATAACTTTTTCTTGAGTTTTCTTGAGTTTTTCTGTCCCTTTTAAGCTTTTTCAGTCCCAACACACCACGGCCTTCTTTATATCTGACAGGAACACTAGTACAGATTATCTAAATGTGCTAATTGAGCAACACAAGCTCCTTGGGGCCTCTTTTTTAGTTATGAATTAACTGCGTTCGGTTGATGGACCCACATATTGTTCAAAATGCTTTTCACAAGGAAGAGTGCTTCTTTATATTTGTTTCTATATCCATATTTGTTTTGTCCTTTCCTTTCTTAACTCCTCCATTATTACTTAAACTTGTTCAGTATTATACACATTCACAATCAGAATTGATTTACTTAAAATTCACACATGTCTTTATACAACATGTTTTATTTATATACTTAGTACTTAGTATGATTGATTGGTGATTGCTTTACGCCGCATCAGCACATGCTTTAAATGAATTTTATGAATAGATAATAATTATAACAGAGATATAGATTTAGGCTTTAAGCAATGCACTTTAAGAATAATACAAATATAAGTTTTCAAGTTATAAGGAATAAATTAGGAATAAATAAGGAATACTTTTCAAAGTCTGTTTAGATTTTTGCACTGAATGCTTTCTTCCGTGATGGTCACTCACATTAACTTTCATTTAGCGAAATTTCGCTACATGGAAAAAAGCTGGTATACAAATATATATTGAAGCAATCGATAGGCATATCAATAAATTACAGTGTTATCGGAATTTCTAAAGAGTTTCTTTCGAATATCAATATTTTTTTGTCACATTGACGGAAAACCAAAGGAGTTACATATAAAGGTATGGGTCGTGTTAGTATAGTCCACGACTCATATTAAACCATAAGTTCAAAGCCAGTATGTAAATACAAAGGTCTATTCACACAAATTTCTCTGGATTTTTTCTATCATATTTGTTCTATGTATTCATATTTCCAGTAACACCATATACACGATAATGTTCTAATGGATATTTTATGCAGCTAATATGCATAGTCGTAAATTGTAGATTTTATATTGACAGACCACAAAATTATAAAATTATGTGAAATAAATGACAATGCTTAAAGATATGAGTACACTACAAACATCCGAAGGACTAAAATGCATGAAATGATGTTCATATATAATAATTATGCATTGATAAAAAGGTAAATAAACGCTTACACTTTACCCTGTAAACATAAATAAGGCGGTGGCGTACATATATTGAGTCAGACAAACGATCTTGTCAAATTTGTCTAGAGGGAGTATCTTAAGTCATGTTCAGTAACATCATCTTTTCTACGTTCTGGTTATAATGTGCTTTTAGTATTACGTGTATTATGGAGGCTAAATCTTTAGTTTTGGGATGTTTTCTTTCGTTCGTGACCATTTTAGTTTTGTTTGGTAAGTACCCTTACACCTGTATGAGAATAATGAAGTCTACTTTCTTTCTTTCAAAGGAATTAATAATTTAAATATCGAAATAAAAGAAATTATTTTTGCAATTAATTCTTCTTCCCGACGATTTAAAAATGATTTCTGTTTAAAAATAAAGAAATCTATTGCCAGCTATTATTATTTATTAGTATAACTAGTCGAATCTCTTTACATTGTGAAAAAAAGGCTTCGAAGCACAAATGGAGGTTGTCTTGATCGTTCATGTTTATAGAGACAAAACACACTTGAAGGATTTATACAGACAAACGAATTCGGTCACTACTTACATTTTTTTTTATGTAAGACCAAAATTATATTAGGAATACCATACACCTTTTAAAGAAAACACATAAGACATTGTTTCGAGAATTATTAAACATATTTGTTATATCTACGTGCATTCTATACATTTGTACTTCTATGTGTAGGATATCAAAATTTTATATAAAGGAAAGCATAAAAGTTACATATATGTTTATCCGATATTCATAGAGGTTGCTCCGAAGCCTCTTGCAAAATTTCACAAAAATCCGTGAGTTTGTCATTTACGTACTTGACACTTTAATTGACAGTTTTAATTGCGTGTGCTTTTTTGTGATATTTGGAAATTCTCACATCCACATAAAAGACACACACACATTTTTTTCTATCGAAGAAGTTGTGGCTATTATCGCAATGTTCGTATTAAGAAAAATCAAATTGTTTGGTCGATTTCAAAGTCAGGAGATGTGCTTGTCTCAGTCACTAAATTTGGATTTTCACAGAACCTAAAGATAGAAATGTGCACGTTTTCTCTTGAAGTTGTTTTCTGTCAAAAACCCTATTACTCCACTGATTTGTTTTAAAAATATGTAATTCCATTCATCGGAGTTACGTATATATATATATATATATGAGTTAGATTGCTGACAAATAACAAATACATTGTGTATTAAATAATAATATAACATCTTCACACGCTTAAAAACACATGTCTTATGTCTATCTCTAGATTCGCCTTACGTGACAAGGTAACACTACGACTATTGAAGTTATATTTTTTTATATAGCGGATGTGGTCGTGGGGTCTAGAGCGCTGGACATGAGGCTAAGCGATTGGTGCTGTAGTGTATCAAAGGTGTGAGTTCGAATCCCGTTGAGGGACAAAAATTTGTCAGCACAAAAGTCTAATTCTAACACTGTTGGGTGTAATTTTCAGACTTATATAAATATTTGTATTAACCCTGCGTCTCAAACACACTGAGATCCAGTGGGCATATATATTGTATGGTTGTCACTTGCTTAGACTTGTTTGTATGATATACTTATTTCTAGTGACTGTATAATGAATTGAATCATTATCCCATACTGTATATAAAAATTGTTGAGTTAGATTGCTGACAAATAACAAATACATTGTGTATTAAATAATAATATAACATCTTCACACGCTTAAAAACACATGTCTTATGTCTATCTCTAGATTCGCCTTACGTGACAAGGTAACACTACGACTATTGAAGTTATATTTTTTTATATAGCGGATGTGGTCGTGGGGTCTAGAGCGCTGGACATGAGGCTAAGCGATTGGTGCTGTAGTGTATCAAAGGTGTGAGTTCGAATCCCGTTGAGGGACAAAAATTTGTCAGCACAAAAGTCTAATTCTAACACTGTTGGGTGTAATTTTCAGACTTATATATATATATGAAATATAAATGAGTGAAAAAGTATATTTCAACAAAACGCATTTGACTAGCAGGTCGAACAACTGATGTTCTTAAACCCTGCTGACTGCCATTGGCGATTGCCAAATAAACGGATCACAAGATGTAACAAAACAGACCTTATTATCAAATTATTACCAAACAGAAAACAATAAACTTGCGGAAAAGATGGTATACCGCAAACATGAGGTGTAAAAATTTGTACACCATATCCGGATTTCGACAATTAATGTCTCTTCAGTGATGTTAGGAATCGAAACGGTATTTGGAAGGCCATATAATTTACCTCAATTTAGGATAGACTCTTGAATTTTGAAAGAGTCAAAATAGGATGAACGGATCATATAAACCCGAAGGCAAATATAATACAAGCCCAAACGAAAAAATATAAACAAGTCTAAATTGAAAACAACGTTATATATATATATATATATATATATATACAAGTCTAAATTGAAAACAACGTTCAAACCTATGATTACGTTGGATAAAAACCGCAACTTTTGTACGTGTGCATGCAAAACAAATTTCTTGTTAGAGGGGTCTAAATACAGCACAAACAACATTTTCCAAAAGACCAAAAAAGTGAAAAAGTATATTTTAACAAAACGCATTTGACTAACAGGTCGAACAACAAATGTTCTTAATTCCTGCTGACTGCCATTGGCGATTGCCAAATAAACGGATCACGAGGTGTAATAAATGGATCTTAACTACAACTTTAATACCAAACAGAAAACAATAAACTTGCGGCGAAGATGGTATACCGCAAACAAAGGTGCAAAGTTTTTTTGTACACCATATCCGGATTTCGACAATTAATGTCTCTTCAGTGATGTTAGGAATCGAAACGGTTATTGGAAGGCCACATAATTTACCTCAATTTAGGATAGACTCTTGAATTTTGAGGAGTCAAAATAGGATGAACGGATCATATAAACCCGAAGGCAAATATAATACAAGCCCAAACGAAAAAATATAAACAAGTCTAAATTGAAAACAACGTTCAAACCTATGATTGCGTTGGATAAAAACCGCAATTTTTATACGTGTGCATGCAAAACAAATTTCTTGGTAGAGGGGTCTAAATACAGCACAAACAACATTTTCCAAAAGGCCAAATGAGTGAAAAAGTATATTTTAACAAAACGCATTTGACTAACAGGTCGAACAACACATGTTCTTAATTCCTGCTGACTGCCATTGGCGATTGCCAAATAAACGGATCACGAGGTGTAATAAATGGATCTTAACTACAAATTTAATACCAAACAGAAAACAATAAACTTGCGGCGAAGATGGTATACCGCAAACAAAGGTGCAAAGATTTTGTGTACACCATATCCGGATTTCGACAATTAATGTCTCTTCAGTGATGTTAGGAATCGAAACGGTTATTGGAAGGCCACATAATTTACCTCAATTTAGGATAGACTCTTGAATTTTGAGGAGTCAAAATAGGATGAACGGATCATATAAACCCGAAGGCAAATATAATACAAGCCCAAACGAAAAAATATAAACAAGTCTAAATTGAAAACAACGTTCAAACCTATGATTACGTTGGATAAAAACCGCAACTTTTATACGTGTGCATGCAAAACAAATTTCTTGTTAGAGGGGTCTAAATACAGCACAAACAACATTTTCCAAAAGACCAGAAAAGTGAAAAAGTATATTTTAACAAAACGCATTTGACTAACAGGTCGAACAACAAATGTTCTTAATTCCTGCTGACTGCCATTGGCGATTGCCAAATAAATATATATATATATATGGAGTTTTGAATTTTGTGTACAGCATTATCAGCTGATTAGTTCGCGTCTAACAACATGTGCAGTTGCTGTAAAGCATTTTTCACTTTGTTTTCCTCCACATCATAATCTTCTATGCTGTTTTGGTGTACATTAGTGTTCATTGCTTATATTGGTATATAGCATAATCTACTGTTAATGTTTGGTATACATACAGCATGAGATACATTTATTTTTACAACATTATTATCTTTCTATTTGCTGCACAAAATTATCTGCTGTCAACTTTTGTCGTATATTATCTTGTGTTCTTTTTTACCATACAGCATTTATCCACTTTTCATATTTGCTGTATAACCTAATTTTGTGTTTTCTTTTTCTGTACAACATCATCCACTGCTTATATCAATGTACAGCATCGTGGGCTGTTTTCCTGTAAAACATTATTATTTACATGTTAGTTTGTGGTCTAGCATTATGTGGCCTTTTTTTTTTATAGTATATCACTATGCATAATTGAGATACGGGTTTTACGTCAATTAGACAGCATCAAAACGACATGTAAAAAAACAACATCTAAAGATACAGTAATAGACGTTCACACAATATCTAAAACTCGAAATCTAGAGTCTACTATTTATTTTGTGGTACAGCAATATGTGCTGTTCGTTTTTGGTGTACAGCATCATGTTTATTTTTGCGGTATAGCTGCATGTGATGTTCTCTTAATTTTGGTGTACAGTACTATCTTTTTTTCTGTTTTTCGTGTGGCATAACATCATCTACTGTCCCTTTTTTATGTATAGTAATATTTTTGTTTAGTTTCGTGGCACAACATCCACTTCTGTTTTGTTATTATATCTTTTACGGTTCCTTCAGTTTAGATAGCACTGCATATGGACTCTTTATTGCTTTTGTACATTTACATTACCTGCAATTACTATACCATCGGTCGACACCTTTTATGTGGACGATTAATATCCATTGTTGTTATCCGCCCAGTAGTAAGAGCTTTTGGCTCTGTCTGGCTGCATGATATATCGGCTACAGTTTTTTGAGGAATTGAAAGATGTTGAAAGTTGAATATTTGTACTAAGGTTAGGGTTTAAACTCGTACAGTCAAAGTTGGCTACAAAAAGGACTTTGCTCTTTGGTCGGGTATTTGTATTCCCGTTTCCATTCTCAATTCTATTTGGTATTATGATAAATGCAATTCTCCAAATGCATGTTCACTTGTATATGGCTTTGCAAAGTATGGGCTTTATATCCGATAAAGATCTTCGCATTTTGATTTGTAGTTTGCTGTTTGACTTATTTACCTATTATTGCCTTCAAGAGTTAATTGTTACGTTTCTTTATTGTTTAGCAACACCAACTGAAGCTGGTGAATGTTGCCGTTATCGAAGTTTTTTGTATGGCCGCCGGACACATGACTCCAGATGGTGTCCAGTTTTCTGTTGTTACTTTCGGTTATCTGGGACTTATGGCTGTTGTGGTGACATTGGAATGAGAGCACCATACCATGACAGATCGGCTTTCTGTAAAGATTGGTTTACATTCAGATCAAACTTGTAAGTATTTATAACTATTGAGTATTTCACTAAATATTCAAATTGAAATGTTTTAAAATCTGTGAAAAATATATGTTTCAGTTAACTTTCTAGCAACATGCAACATGTTGAAACTGCAACTGGGTTTTAAAAGTTAGTAAATTAAATAAATGTGAATATATATCCATCAATGTTAACAATTTTTACACCAAAGATAGATTTCTAAAGTATTTGCTTCATTTTTATAACAAAGGTTATAGATAGACTTGTCAGGGTTTGAGGTTTATAAAGCGAACTTACACAAAAACAAATAACACTATACAGAAACAAACACAAAAAACAAGACAATTCCAAATTTCTGGAGCTGACGATGGTCTCTTTGGCAGTATGTTTGTTATATGAATAAGTAAAGAATTCCGCTGATATTTGTGTTGGCGCTATTTGAAATTGCAATGAGTTGAGAGTTTTTCACACCGTACAACCGACTATTATTAATTTTTAACAGCACAACAGATACGATCATGCACCGCCATATACACTGTTACGTTTTTGAAGTCAGTATGAATTTTGTTTTTTACAAGTTAAAAATTATTGTTTTACTCCATCTTTAAGGCTTCACTGTGAATTTGAGATAAAAAAAAAAAAAAAAAAAAAAAATGGTGTGCTTTTGTTTTTTATTGGTGTGTAGTGATTTGTGTTATGAATTGATACACGATATCCTCTGTGTGCGAAAAATTCTCCTGCATGCCCTCTCCCCATCAACATAAAATGCTTCAAAATCAAATGCCTCATACTCCCCATTTCCACCTACATGATACGAGTTATATGAGAAATAAACAGTACAAATTCACAGAGGTGATTTTAGGTGTTTTGAATATCAAACGTTATCCTTCTGTGTATTTCTTACTATGAAAAATGTCCGTCTGTTAAGTAATTCAAGACAACAGATTAATTTGAATAATATAGCTTTTCTTTATGTTTGTTGTGAATCATTTATTTACACTTTATAAATGACACCTATGTACATGTACTGTTCAAAAGAATGTATAGCTCGGAGATTATTAATATAATTGTTTCTTTTGTAGGTGGGCGCCTATCTTAATAGCTATAATTGCACTACTTATTTTACTGTGTGCCGTATTCGCTTGTTGTCATCTATGTTGTTTTTGTTTCTAACCATGTACCAAATCAAATAAAATCATATATTTTGTACAAAAAAAATTAAAAGTTTGATACAATATTACTTTCATATAACTCATTTGAAAAACACATAGAAACATTCATATACGTGTTGTTGTAGTGGTTTTTGTGTAAAATAATGTCTGATATTGTACTATGCTCCTGGTTACAATACACCATTAGATTTTATGGGCGCAGCCATTTTATGAGCATAACATGGTATTCAGAATTAAGAGTATAGCTAATCCTGATTGGTTGATATGTGCGCCCGTTATTTTTTGTTATTAGAGACTTCGTGCATTCTGCATTATACCAAAGGCCAAATAAATTATTTTCCTTAGCCCTAACGGAACTGAGATGTCTTTTAAACGCTAGGATGAGACACGTATTTTTAAGTGCAAAATTTATAGGCATGGGAGATAAGTACAAATTACGCTAAGAAAAGCAACGCGAACCTATATTTTTTGGACCAAAAAATACTGTCCTAATAACTTTTCTTTAATTCTAGCAAGGTTTCGTTAAAAAAATCAACTTTCTGAAGTCTGTATCTCGAAAAAGGCTATCATTGTCGCCTATGGGGAAATTAATTGTTTATTTCAATCTCCTTTAAAAATGCATGATATTGTGTTATGCTCTATAAAAAGAATCATGTCTGATCTTGTACTATGAACCTTTAAAAACTACTGTCTGATATTGTATTATGCTTTTAAAAAAAATTGATATTGTACTATGCTCTTTGTGAGCCCATTTAATGGAAAATGGATAAAACATCTTCTTCTTTTGAATAATAAAACGCGTTAAGTGTTCAGTCTATAATATTGATTTTGATAAAAGTCTATTACATTTTGTGAAAAATAGAATTTTTGACCAAGCAAAGCAGGAACTGAAAGGAAATTTCAGGGAGTGTTTTGTGTGTGTAAAACGTTAGTCGGGTTTAAAAGTTGTGTAAATATTTCGAAAAAAGTTATCAGTCATTGTAATCTACCCTGTAAATTCTATGAACAATTGTTATTGTACAACCATGAATTTTAGTTGTTATGAATATTTTTATGCTGATGAACATATAGTTTAAGCTAATAAAGGATCTGAATCAAGTCTGGATCGTACCTCAAGAAGGTCAGTTGTGCGCACTGAAATGAGAATCATATATATCTACATACCTCATTTCAAAATATTATACGTTAATAAAATTGTAGTTGTAAGTAACAATATTGCGATTTTTTGCTGTTAACCCGTTTGCTCACATATTGTTTTCAATATAATGCGACGGTCATACAAGTGAGAGGTTTAGCTAGCTAAATATAAAACCAGGTTTTATCCACCATTTTCTACATAAGGAAATGCCTGTACCAAGCCAGGAATATGAAAGTTGTTTTCAATTCGTTTGATGTGTTTGAGCTTTTGGTTTTGTCATTTTGTGATAAGGGACTTTCCGTTTTGAATTTTTCTTGGATTTCGTTTACTTTGTGCATACCAAAAGCAGAAATTAGCGAGAAACCAACCGAATAAAGCCGCCCATGGCCTATCAGAACACTCTTTGCATACGTCCCTAACTACTAAATTTAGCAATGTTTTAAAGGTTTTTAATTCATTGCTATTGATAACAATATTAAGGGATGGACTTAGAATTTCAATATGACCCCAACTAAGTAGGGTAAAGGATAATGAGATAACAAGTAAATAGCACAAGTTCACCAGAACGGATAACAAGAGCACTCCATAGGGTCACCAACTATGCAGATGTATAGGAGTCCACGATGTATGAAAAGCCCTAAACGCCTAGAGTATAAACGTAAGTTGTGAATTCACCAAATTCGAATCATATATACGAGTATATATATCAATTAGATAGACCGATGTTTAACACCAAATCCAATTTATCAATTTACTGCAAAAATATCTGCAACAACATCCAAAATTGTCAATTAAATAGACAATTATCTGAAACCAAATTCAAATCATCAATCATATTGGAAAATATCAGACACCAAATCCAAGTTACACATTTTATAGCCAAATCCAAGTTACACATTTTATAGCCAAATCCAAGCGACTTCTCTGAGATCAGGACTTTGTAGTTTTTGTCTTTTTGTTAGTGTTTTTTGTTGGCTTAGTGCCGATCTAATGAGTCAATTTTCCATCTGATTTTTATAGTTCGTTCTTATGCTGTTCTGTTACGCCAATGTCCGAGGTAAGGGGAGGTTTGAGCACTCACATACATGGTTAGCCCGCCACATTCTTTTTTGTGTCTGTCCCATGCAAATCAGGATACTGTAATTCAATGGGTGTCGTTGGTTTCTATCTGCCATATTTGTTCCTCGTTTATTGTTTTCAGCATAAATCAGGCCAATGTTTTTTTTTCTCATTTTAATTATTTCACATTTTTTTCATGCCGGTGCCTTTTGTAGCTTACTATACGGTATAGGTTTTGTTGATTGTTGAAGGTTGCACAGTGCCGTATATATGTTTACATCCTCGTCCTTGATAGTTCTTTTTATTGACAATCATATCACACCTCCTTATTTTAATATAAATATCTGTCACAAAATCCAAATTATTAATTAAATAGACAAATATTTAACACCAAATCCAACGGATCAATCGAATAGACATATATAATTTGAAGAAACAGCGATAAACGCGACTATCTATGACCAGTTCCCTGGTTTTCACTTGCACAAAAACATGTGACCTGTTGAGGCTCAATTATATAAGTACCAACCATCATTTTTATCTAGACCAGAAGAGATCGATATATTCAGTTAAACAGATAACAAGCACATGAAGACAATTGTCTATTGATGAAGACGATATGTTGACCTCTACATGTGTTTGGGATTTTGGTCGTTGGGTTGCCATTGACGAATTTCCACATAACTTTTTATTCACATTCTTGATGTTGATATGGTACGGTGACACGGCCGACTGACATTATTACACCGCGCATCCGCCATGTAGAGATTAACCCAAAATACCTACTATCTTTATAATATCTGGAAATGATCTGACTTGGTCTGTTGAAGATTCTATATTGTTAAAAGTGTCCGGTGGAATAGATGTCCAGTCCTTTATAGCATTCGAGATAAAGCTAAATTTGAGTTAGTCTGTTCTGGTTGGAGGTCCGAGGAAATGATATTCATACATGGATTTGGTGATTCTTCTGGGTATTTTCAAATGCTCTTTTGGTATATGGGCTTTATTTTTTAGTCCTTTGTGCAAAAGTAGTAGCCTGCTATCTGTTTTCCATCTTTTAATGATGGTAAATTGAGCTGTTTAAGAATCGCTTTCACTGATCCAGGTTCATAGTCTCTGTAATTTTATGTTACGAACCGAGCCACTCTTGCTTTTGGATGTTTTTTTTTATTTCTCCTGAAGATAGTTTGATGGGACTTAATTATTCAAGGATCGGTTGTATTAGTTCTTTGTACGCTTGTAATTTTATTTCCTGGGGCAAGATGATAAGTTGCGCTATAATAATCCATTCTACTGTAGGATTTTTTTACAGATTTCTTCAATATTCCTTTAGAAATTCGTATATCTTAAGATTGACACTGCTTACAGTTTACGTTTTGATTTATTAAGAGTAAGGTCAATTTGAGAAGAGTTGTTAGTTTATATAGAAAATTATTGACCTTATTTTGAGAGAATACGTCATCTACATACTACTCCCACTTCGATATATAAATTTCTGTTAGTCCTCGTGAAATTTAGCCATCTATTCATATCTCAGTAATAAAGAAACACATCTGCTATGATGTCCCCAACGGAATATAACTAATTTGATCGAAAGTCAAGTATTTTCTCATCTCAATCCTATGAAGCCGTAGTAATAATTACGATTATGCCTGTAATATAGACCTTGACGTACGTCAAAGTTGAACTGTGTTGAACATCCATTTAAAAAAAATGGCAGTGGATTTTTCAGAAATGCCAGAATTGTTTAATTTTATTTGATTATCTCGTTTGCCTTATATCATCTGAACTTATGTAGTTAAAATAATCTAAAACAGAAGATACGAAACTTGGTGTGGTCTTAGTTTGGTCACTTTGAAAAACTGTTTTATAGTTTCGAGCTGTTCATTTATCTTCAAAAAAGTTTTGATTTCTGGTAAAAGTTCGATAATATTTTGCATAACATCATCAATGAGGCATATCATCGTCATTATCAACATTCTCATCATTATTATTGTCAGCAGGATTATCAAAGTATTTAGGAATATTGTCCTCCGAATCTGGAAAATTTTCCTACAGTTTCTATTTAGATAGCGGTGATATGATACTTTGTTTATTTTTTTATGAGCTGGACTAGCTGTTGTCGGCGATTTCAAATTCAAAACTGAAGCTTTCGTAAATACATTTCCATTGATATCTTTGCATATCTGTTTCCTACATGTTTCAACTTCACATGGATTGAATTTAAAAATTCGATAACCATAATGATCAGTGGTTGGCGATGATTAAACCTTTTTCATCTGAACTCTTTATTTCCATAACTGTATATGCATTGTATGCTCCTGTGTTTTTGTGCCAATTACCTCTCATCACAGTATTAACAATTGCATGGGTCCATTGCACATTGGACTCTTCGGAACAATCGTTTGAAAAAACAGGAATAAACTAAACAGGTACAATAAATGATACAAGTCACAAAATACAGATCCTTCGTAAAACTAATAAAGGTCAAATGAGAGCAACCCCATATTATGTCTCAAAGGCTTAGAGCTGTCAAAAAGATGAAACGATTTTTAAGGAATTAAAATTCATTGCATTTGTTGAACATGAAGTGACAGTAGACTGGACTGAAATAAACGCAAAGTCACAGTACACTTGCAGACTAAACCGACAATGTATATTCGTTCCATGTAAAAGTATACAGCAATTTTAAAGATCATGCTCATTTGATATCAAAGATACACGATTTTGAAGAGGGGTTTAATGCATGCTGTGGCATTTGTAACAATAATACATACTTCAATCGTAAAAAATCTTGAAACAAGATCGGAT